AAAAAAAAAAAAAAACGGCTTGCTTTTTAAGATTCTGTCTGATTTATGGGCAGTGACATAAAGCCATTTAGCTTTTTGCTTTCATTTCCATTTGCTTCATGGACTTGTAGCCCGTCTTTCACTTCTCCACTAATAAATTTTATGAGACAGGGATTAATTTTTGAGCTTTTACTTCTCATAAGAACGAGGTTAAAAGTTTTTTCTCTATTTCACAGATTGTTTTTAGATTCTAAATGAATTGGTAATTTTGTAAACGTTGTAATTAATTGGGTTTTATACAGAAGAATTCTAAGGTTATTCTTCAGGTTCTGTAATTCATATTTCCAGTCTGCTAGGTTTTAAAAATATTATTATCTGTTTAAATCAAAATATTCTGATTATTTTTGAAGCGTGTAATCGTGCAGCGTATTCAGTTCTGTTTCTTTTTCTCCAGCACTTTCAGTGCAGCAAATGTAATTTGTTTTTACTATTTTCAAATATTTACTTTATCACTCTATCTTCATAATTAAAAGTTCTGGTTTTGATCTTTTTGGTAATTAATAAAGAAATGGATTGAATGAAACTTCCGCCAGTATAGGTGCTTCTTGTTCACAGCTGTAAAAAAAGAAAAAAAAAAAACAAGTGGTAGTACGGCAAAAGAACTTATTGAAGCGGTAAATGGATGATAGGTAGTTATTGAAAAGTGAATAAAAAATGGTTAGCAGGTCAAGGGTTTACATATTGGTAACTCTTTTAATAGCTACTTAAAAAGAAGTTTTAATTAAGTTTTATCACTATGACCTTTTAAAATTTTTTAATTTTATTTTTTTTTTTTAAATATTATTGGGAGCTTTTAAAAGATCACCTATTAGAATTATTGTAGGCATGTTTAGACTCTCGTCAAAATTCGTTGGTACTAGTGTGGGAGATGGATTAAGAGAAAAGAGATAGTTGAGTCATTTTTAAAGGATTCAGCAGCGTTTTTTACGTCGTTTTTATAACTAAAATAATTGTAAGACTATAGAACTTTGAAAACAAGTGGTTAGTGACAGCTAAAGGTCGATCCTAACATTTTCTCTCCAATGACTTTTTACTTCCCCTTTTTTTCCTCAGAATTTTACGTAATAAGATCTCTGAAAGGTACGGCGAATTACGAAGACGAAAAGCTCTGCTTTTGTAGAACGAAAGTTCTCAATAAATTGTTAATTTGCCTTTCTAGAAGAATTTTGTTGTCGTTTCGGAAAATACTCGAATCCGCATTGAATATTTTTTTCATCACCACCGTTTGTCACTCTTTCCTAAGCCATTGATGAGGTGTGGAAAGAGTACTCAACAAATAGCGGCACACTAACCTAGTTTCAATGACGCTTGTACTATCAGAGGAATGTGAGTGGAAATAAAAGTTCACTATCATGAAAGATGAAGGAGAATATGGCATTGTTGAGATCATTCATTTATTCAAATAATACTGATTATTCATTTTCTTGTTATTGGCTGTCAGCATTGTCGAAGGAGGCGATAGTGTTGGCTAATACCATCAAACAATTGTTATTTCATTATATTTTTTTGTTGGAACTTTCCATACAAGGAACAATGGAATAATTTTTTTTGAGCAGAGAAGGCATTATCCATGTTTCTTTTTGTATTTAAGAGCCCTTATTTGTAAGCATGCTAGCGGACGTTGGTATTGGAAAAAAGAACGCAATTCTAGCAAAGTCAGTATTCTGAACTGCCTGTTATAATATTGCAGTAAGGTGTTTGATTACTGCCATTACTCAGATGTTTCTTGTATTCTCGCTGCTCGTCTTAGACGCCTTTCTACTATCAGCAGGTAAGTAGACAGTGTAAATCTGCTTCTTCTTCTTCTGTGGGTATTATTTCTTTTCTTTATCCAAGTGGGATCCATATTACTCAATAGTATAGTCAAAACTAGTATTTGGTAGATATCATATTTAATATGTCCTAGACCTTGCTTATGTCACAGTTTAATCTTTTAAATTTTTGTTATTTAATTCTAATTTTATTAGCAAATAAGAAAAATATAGTAGTAGTTTGATCTAAAAAGAAAGGGAATCATTGGAAATCTGTTAAACGTCGCTACCGGTGAGAACTTACTGGTGTTAACTATACGACATTTTTTGTACCTTTCATTTGCAATATGTGGGACCTTACAACTGTTTTCGCGTTTAATTTATGCGGGAGGGTCAAGAACTTTTATGACCTTTTCGAGCAACGAAAGAAGAGTTTACAAAAGTTTTATTGCTTTATTAGTTTTGCCCTTTCTACTTCTGTTTTTGTTTGTAGTCTTCCAAACTGTAGATGTATTAACTCTCCGTTGATTAGGTCCAACTTTTTTTTTCCATTTAATCCAGTTTACAGTTAACTAGATGAGAATTTAGATTTCTTTTTGGAGGGAAGGAGATGTATGAAAGTTAAAATTCTCTCCAAATATACCCTGTTTAAGTTAGGCAATTGAATGGTTCGAGAACGACCATTAGCAGCAGGAGTGAAACATCTGTTTTTACAGGACAGATAACACAGCTGCAGATAGGGTCTGACTGTGCCAGGTGATTAGGCATTGATAGATCAAGGTATATGATAGAAAGTAGCAATGTTAAAACTTTAAACTAGCCTAAAGATAGTCGCCCAAATGTTTCAATTGAATTCAGCAAGTTATTTTTGTTGCTTATACCCGGAAAGCTACACTTTGTTGGTTCTTGCAAAGTGTTTCCTTACTAAACTGGTTAATGAGCGGTATCTCTTTGATGTTAAGAGGAATGTCGACTTCTTTACAGTCGTTCTAAAGCAATATTCAAACCGCTTACTGCCAATTCAAGTTTGGCAAAGTATAAATAAGGCAATTGAACTTGAATTTTCTAATCGCTACCACGACTAAGAAAATTTAAAACTCTCTTTCCTGAATATTCAACCAATAAATCAAAAAGAAAAGATGGCAACCACTGCCAAGATTTTCAAGTCGTAATTAGAATATTTACTTAGGAGCAAAATAAAATAAGTGAAAATACTCGTAAGTTTTTAAGTACAAATTAGCGAGTTAGTTAAGCAGTAAATAGAAAGAGTTCTTCCTATCCAGAATTTTTTATTTCATTCACTGCAGTAAGCATCAACAAAACTTTTGTTGACTGTATTTGTCACCATTATCACCTGCAAAAACT